GCCCCGAATACTTTTTTGGTGGGGAAATTGAGGTCCAGTGAGAAGTGACCTATCTAGGGTCCTGGAAGATTCTTGAGTCTCACTTCTTTTTTTATTATTTCTAAAGACCAGCTTTCCTTCATTCCCAGCCCCGCCCCCACGCCTCCTTCTCTCCTGTCCTCGGCCTTCAGCCTGGGCCTCCCAAGTCTACCCACGAATTCAGGCATGCCTTGTCCCGAGGAAACCATGAGTGACAGTCAACAGGGGCGAAGGAGGAGCCTTGTGCGCATAATCTTGTGTTACTGGACTCTGGCTTCCTCCTTGTTGGTTTGAAGAACCCGCCTCTGTATCTGTGCCTTGACCTCACTGCTCCCATTGTCCTTGAGAACTCTGCCAGGCACTGTCCTGAGCACCAGTCTTTGACAACACACTGAGATTCTAAGCAGGGAACCTTCACATCGCCTTTAAAGGCAAGCTCAAAGCTTTAGCAACCCTCAGACCCATAAGTAGCATTCAGAGAGTCTGGGTTGGCAGCCTACAGGTTGGTCCAGAACCCGCTCAAAACCACCATGCACCATGGCAGATCCGGACCTTCTTCACCTTTCGACACATCCCACTCGCATCCTTCCAGAGCCAGGTGAAATACCACAGTGTTACCTATGGAGTTCTCAGCCTCTGGACCACACACTGATGACAGTTGGTGCCCAGTTGCTTCATGGGTGCTCTTTCCTCTGGGTCTGGCCCTGGAGTGCAGAGCTGTGCTGCGACCCCTTCTCTTGCCTCACTGAGCAGGCAGGAACTAGTAAACAGTGGGCCCTCAGAAGATGTCCACAAAGAGAATGGAGGATGTAATCATGGCTTGCACAGGGATCCCATATGTGATATGTTCCCACCCAGGAACTGCAAGGTCTCCAGCATTGGAACGCAGTATGAACAGATACAGTTTAGGACTCCATCTCCTTATTCTGATTCCACGACTAGCCACCTAGGTAGCTCCTGCCTGTCTAGTAGGTCTGAGGCCTCCGTGGGTACAAACCTTTTCTTCTTCTCACCTCGAGTACTTGCTGCATCCCAGGTGTGATAAGACCCTAGCACAAAGTGGTCTATTAGCATAAAAGTACTTACTCTTGCTCTCCAGGAGGCCCAGGGAGGCTTCCGAACTATGAAGAGCCTGCACTGGATGACTCTCAGCAGGAACTTGGGATGGCACAGCCTGCCGGAAGTCGGTCATATGAAGCATGGACAGAAGGAGCGGAAGGTCTGGGTACCTGAAGACGAATACTCCAGTGACCTGGGTCATCACTTTGGGCTTTGCAACTGCAGCCAAGACATTTGTACTTCACCCTGAGCACAACGGACTGGGTTTTCAGGCTCAGAAGCACATTCAAGGGACATCATGGCTGGTGAGGGTCACCTGCTGTGGCAACCAGGGCACCCTTCTTCCTGCCTGCTGTAGTGAGAGAACTTCTGTGTCCTCTGTGCTGCCACTGATCCATAGACAGGAAAGGTCTCCTGTGAAGAATGAAAGAGTCCAGTAGCTGAAAACCACGGAGACCAGAAGTAAGGGCTTAGGATTCTGTGGTGTGTGGGTGCTGAGCATCCTTACCGTGAATGGACTTCCATTTACCTGATGCTGCCTGGGACTGATAGCAAAGACCCAGAAGGACACTGTGTCCACACCACTAGGGACACAAGCTTGAATTTGGTGTCTGTGGACCAGACTAGTAGAAAAAGACTGGAGACTGGAACCCAGTTTGGGAGATGGTGACACTTTCTTGACTTCACGCATGGGTGGCAAAGAGGATCCAGTTTTCAGGATGATTTCAGTGAATTCTGCAGCCTCTCCAAGATACCGTCTTCTCTAGAACACTTCCCATACTTCAGCCCTCCTCTGAGATCTACCTCTGCAGAAACTGTGAGTCCCCTGAGATTCACTTGGCTCCCTAGTACTTGACCTGTGTTAGGTGCTCAGTAGTTTCCGATGACGCAATTTCCCTTCCCTTTCATCTCCTCTTCCATCTCAGGGAACCCTTCCAACCACCCGCAATTAGGCTAAGCATTAGTAAGTTTATTTTGAAAGCAACGAGGAGAATTGTCCTAGGTCCAAGAGGGAATACGTCTGAGAAAGCCTGCGTGACCTGCCCAAAGGGAAGCTATAGAACTGAGGTCTGACGTGGTTATGTCTGGCTCGAGGCAGGGCTCTCTTCCTCTCCCTGAAGGAACGAATGGAGGACCACACCCTAGAGATGGATCAAGCCTCCTCTGCAATTCTGCCATGCTAAACACATGACAAGGGGCTGTCTATAACCCGGTCTGGAAGGACCAACTGACCTGTAATTGAATAGCATGTGGTAGGTTGGGCTGGGCTGAATGCCTCTGGACAGTGTCAGCCTCCAATGGGCGGACTCATCTTAGGTTAATTCGACCCTGGCTCAGTGCCACCTGGTTCCCATCCTCACCCAGTGGGAACCTAGCAAATGAAAGATGAGTGACAAGCATTCGTCTAGAAGCAACGAAGAGAAGGTTTGCTTGTGTGAATTATAGCAAGACTGACCCCTGGGATCACCTACTTCTTCAGCAATCCATAGTGGGTCATTCTGCTCCTGCTTGCTCAATTCCACGGTGATTTTGTTGAGCTATTACTTGGTCCGGGCCTGTGGGCCCTGACAACCATGTAGGGGTACTCATATGTAATATGAAGTTGTAGAATGGTAAGAGCCTACCTTTGACCACTTCCTTCCAGGTGCTAAGGGAGCTTGAAAAGCAACGGCATGACAAAGTACTGATATGTCCTGCTTTTCTGCTTGGGAATTGGCTGTGGCCATGGGGGGGGGGTGGGCAGCGAGTCGTTGGAGGGACAGCCCCAGGAGCAAAGGAAGAACCAGGAATTTTCTGGGCAGCCGTGTGGCCCCCTTCTTGATTGCCTAAGACTAAAATGTCTGAAGTTGCATTTGGCCGGTTGACATACACTCACAACTCCCCTCTCCCAAGACCGCAGGGTAAAGGATCAGAAACACATCAGCCTCTAGAGACAAAGGCATATCAGAGAGGCAGCAAGAGGGTGGTGATTTTAATGACTTTTTGGGTGGCAGGAAGCAGTAGGGGGCTGATTGGCATTGGTCCAGTAGTGTAGATATCATGAGAGCTGATTCTGTTCTTAGATACCCAGGGCTCAAGTCCCTGCACCCCACTCCACCCCCATTCTCAATATCACATCGAGCCCATGACTTTCCTCTTCCTAAAGCCACCGCCCACCCTCTCTACTGTGAAGATTTTATCTTCTGGTGCTTTGACAGTCACCCGGAGTTCTCTTAGAACATGTACAAGCACTTGAGTTTTGATTCTGACTCTAAAATGGAGCCAAGATATTCCCAGTTTTGACAAAGCTCCCTCAGGAATGTCAAGAGTCATCACCGCTGAAGGTCTTGAAAGACACCTTCAACTCAGACACGCCACGGTAGCATGGAGGGGGGTCCCCATGGAAAGATGCCAGAAGCTAAGGACTTGATATTGCCCTCCAGATGAAGGGGCTTAAGAGGAGCCCAAGATCTGCCCAATGGGTTCTGTTGAAGAAAGGTGTTTGAAATGAGTGGACTGGGTACCCGGGGAGTTGGCGAGGAGGGTGGGTCAGGTAGATGTTACAGTAGGAATAAAATACTGAAGATGGGAAAGTCATTGGCAGAAGGGATGGCTGGTACGTGACTCTTTGGGATATAACAGGAAGAGCTGTAACTGTCCAGTGGGCTGTACTGCACTCGGCTGGCAATAGGTGAAGTGTATTCCTCTGTACCTTGGCTTTTACAGAGTCCTTCCTTGTCTCCACAGCAACATGGTGCTTACTGAACACTGACCTGAAAGGGTCCTTTAGCGTCCCTGGGTGTCTCCAACATTTTCCTGTGCTCTCCACATGACATATCTGTCTTTACTGAGTAGTTGTGCTGGATGGCTCTCTGCAGTTTGTAAGCTGGAGCAAAATGGCTCAGGTCAGGCTTTGCACCCATTGGCAATTGTGTTCCCAAGGGTAACCAAGGACCTGGGACAGATGAGCTGTGAAAGGGCTGGGGACCAGAGATAAAAACAGAAGATAGAAAATATGCTGGCCAGACATTTGACAGAGAGGATCTTATTTTGAGTTGTGTATGTGTGTGTGCATGTGTGTGTTTCTGTGTGTGTATGTATGTGAAGGTGCACATGCGTGTGCGTATGTGCATGTGAACCGTGTGTGTGTGTGTGTGTGTGTGCTAAGGTCTCTCATTGACCTGGCACTCCCCAAATAGGCTAGCCTGGTTAACCAGCCAGTTTCAGGGATCTGCCTGTCAGCCTCTCCAGTTCTGGGATTACAAAAGTTTGCCACTGCCCCCCCCACACTTTTTATGTGGGTTCTGGGCATCTGGTCCTCACAGCATAGCAAGGACTTTGCTGAAGGAGCCACCTCTCCGGCTCCTCACTGCGTTCTTATCGCCCACATTTGAGATAGGGGCTGGTTCCGTGTTTGCAGGGATGTGCAGCTGAGATACGTTTGTGATATTGCTGATTAGCAGAGCTGGAATCCACACGCAAGCTCGAGCTTGCTTTGATTCAGCTCGTCGTATCTCGGGCTCTGTCCTTCTCCAGCTCCGGGAGCTGCGTGGAATGGAATGATGTGGGTTAGATGAGCTGTGTGCAGGCCACTTCCTCTCTTTCACCTTTCTTGACTTTCCACTCAGCCAGGACAGCTCCCACGTATTTTGTCAAGAATGTAAAGATAGGTATCTGCCTTTACACTTGGGGAACTTCCCAAGACATCAGGCACCCAAACATACCTCGAATACTACCCCAGAGAGGTGAGGAAAGGACTTTTCCATGTGGCCATTGGGTATGAGCTCCTTTTCCCTGGGACTCCCACATCTTCCTCATGGGTTGGGAAAGCACCCCAGGCCTCCCGATATAAGCTCAGTACAAGATGAGGCAGGGGAGAGCTCTTGGCTTCACCAGGCATTCAGTGGTTGCTCCAGAGAGGCCCAAACCAGAAACCCATCATCATGAAACTCATCAGCATGGCCCTGATGTGTCTGCTGCTGGCTGCCATGTGGCCACAAGATGTGGACAGCAAGAGCAGTGAGTGGTGGGGTTCCTGTACTTGGCCTGGGGAGGGGAGAGTACAGACAGGTGTTCTGGATGTAGGGCAGAACTCACCTAGTCCTCTCACTGGCTCGATCTCTGCTCCCGCCTGGAGATGAGGGATGGAGGGCATGAATGGACTGAGGGCTCTGGGCATGGAGGAGGTTGGGCTAGGGGCAGCCGTCTACTGCTTTATGTTGAGCTCAGACCTGAAACTCACCCCTGATTCTTTTTTTTTTTTTTAATGACTGCGGGGACAGACCTGGACCAGGGTCCTCTGGGTGTGATCCTAAGCCTGGCCCTTTCTTGAGAGGCACTTTTTCTTTTGAGAGCTGAGCTGGCTTCAGTGTAGAAGATCCTTACTCTACAGACACTTGGGAGGGACTAGTGGGGATTGTTTCAAACAAGCTGGGAGCCCTGAAGCCCAGAAGAGGAACTGGGTCTAGTTTCCACAGTGTGACAAATGGCAGGCAGGGGTTGAAGGAAGAACCACAGGAGCTAATAGCTGGAAAAGCACTAGACCTTTCTATATGGCTAAAGTGGAGTTTGTGTTCCATTTAGAGAATACTGACCTAACAATGGACCCAAGGGTTTGTGAGCTAGGAAGGAGCGAGGGTTAGAACAAGAGACTTCGAAGGTGCGATGTGGGGAGGGGAGTATACAGACTGGCAGAGTTTGGGGTTATTGGACTATGAAAGAGGACCAAGGAGGGGATGCAGGAGATTGTGTAGACGAGGGACTAGCTAACTACTTCTTGGGAACACCCTTTCCCCTTCCTTCTGAGCTCTTGTGCAGTTCCTCACCAGGTTCTGTCTGTAAACCGTGAACTGCAATGCCCTGCGTGTAATGGGGTAACAGGTTCCCTAGAATGTGAGTCTAGAACCGTAGAGCTTAAATACTTGTATGGTACAAATCTCTGTGCTTGCGATGGGAGACGGAAACTGAAGAGGGCTGTATCTGTGGGATCTCAGTGTACGGACAGGGATGTGAGCTGAGTCAGGGGCTCAGGCTGGCTTGTGGTTAGTGTCTCCACCCTCTGCTGGTTTGTGGGGTGCTTAGCTCTGACCCCCTCAGCCTTCTGATTATTCTCCAGAATTGAGTGGCTGGTGAGGCAGGGCTGCACCATGGCCCTCTGGATGTGGTCTCCAAGCCTGAGTCTGTCCTAGCAAAGGCTTTGTGGGTTTTCCATTTTAATCCTTGTGTGTTTGGGAGGCTGAGGTATGGGTGCTAATAATGGTCTTCCGTGTTTTTCTTCTAGTGCACGTGGCCTCCTCTCGCTGCTGCTTCAGCTTTCTGAAGAAAATGCCTCCCCAGAAGTCAATCCAGTGTTACAGAGAAATCAGCTCCTCCTGTTCCCACCGAGCTGTTGTGTGAGTGAGCACTGACGAGCCTCTAGCTTGGGGAGGGATAACGCGGACTGGAATGAGAATAGCGGACACTAGATGGCGCTGTTCTACAGGAATAGGGACTCTTAAACCCAATCAGGCAAACTGTGGTACAGCGCCATGCTTGATCACAAGGGGGAGCATAGGGCTTCCCAGCGGGGAGTTCCGATTTATTTGCTTGAACTCCAAATAAATCAGGACTTCCTCCCCAAGTGCAAAGGCAGATAACTATCTTTACGTGAAGCCATGATTATATCCCATATTATCTAGCCAGAAGGAAATGCTTAGCCAAAGCGACAGACAGGCTGGAGCGTTGGCTCAGTGGGTAGTGTTTGACTGTCCAGGGAGTTCATATTCCTTGCCAGCACGCAGGAAGTAGAGCAAGGTGGTGTGAGATTGTTACTCCAGCTGGATGAGGCAGAGACAGGCATAGCCCACAGGTTGCTGGTTCTGACCTGACTGAAACAGGTTCAAGATTCAATGAGAGACCCTGCCTCAAAAAGCAAGATAGACAGACAATGAATTGAGGAAGACTTCTTACCAGCCAACCTGTGGCCACCACCATGAACACCACACACACACACACACACACACACACACACATTTACCAATTTGCCAAGCTGCATTCTCCAGGGGCCTTGGACAGGAAACTCTTCCCCTACCCTGTGCTTTGACTCTGGTCTGTAAAGAGGGACAAAGCAGAAACCTGCCTGTATCTCAGGGTCATTAGTAGCCGGATTGAGGTGACTCGCACACCAGGTCAGCATTTTGAGGCGCTTTCCTGTTATGACTCCTGCTGATCCTCTTATGACAAACACTTTGTTAGAGAGAAACTGAGTTTGGGGAGGCAGAGGTGGTTGTCTAAGACCATTGGCCAGTAGGAGGCAGAGTTGGTTTGTGGAATGAATACCAATCAAATTAGGACGTGGACAGATGGAAAAGAATCAACCTCTCCTCTGCTCTCCTCTCCTCTGCTCTCCTCTCCTCTCCTCTCCTCTTCTCTCCCCCCCCCCCCCCAAAAAAAAACCACACACACCTACACCACGAACCCAGAGCAATGTGTGGGTTCCGAATGGATACACAAACACTCAAAGCGGAATCAGGGAGTTGTTCTAGGATGGCGAAGTTTTATCCTTGTTACGCATCAGGATGTTGGCCAGCTCCTCTGCCCCCAGCCCCATAGAGGGAATCCTAGTCCCTAAAGGAGGGTCCAGGGGTCCCCACTAATCAGCTCCCAATGTGACACCAGTGTGCCTTCAGATCATATACAGTCCCTTCGTTCACAGAGTGGGGAGCTCAGGGGCCTCTGAGTGTTCCAGGTTCCTAGTGGGTGACTCGGGTCCTTGCCCATGTCCTCTATTCACAGATTCAGGATGAAGAAAGGTCAAGAAAGCTGTGCCAAGAGTACAGATGCGTGGGTTCGGCGTTACCTGAAGGAGGTGAAACCCTGCCCGCTGAGGTGAAGCTGAGCTCCGCCTTCCCATCCCGGTCCCGGAGACTGGAGCATCCCTTCACTCAGTCCCCCACCCTCCAACTGCCGTCACCCTCTGCCCACTGTTACAGATGCACCCCCATCTCAGTCACGTGATAAGCTATTTTATGGTACTTTGTCTGTTTAAATTATGGAATCTTCAACACCTACAGCCTCTGTTTCTTGGACTCCATGAGGACTTGAGGGTTCAGACTTGATTGAAATTGGGGGGTGGAAAGCAGGGCCTAGAAGGCTGGGGGCAGGTTGGACCTGGGGCCAGGGAAACCACTACATAGGAGAAGTTTTGATCCAGGCTGTGCTATGGCCTCTCTTCCAGCTTTGGTGGTGGAGGGAGCCATAGTAGAACAACCACTGGCACAAGCCTGGGTTCACACTGGGCTGGGAGCCCATGTGACGGGGGTCCTGCCTGCATCCCCAAAAGCTCAGGATGGGGTAATGGTAGCCTATGCTCTAGGTGGAGGGGCGTCTTGTGTTTATCTGCCTGTAAGATGTTGCCGACTCTATTTTATAAATGAGGCCATCGGGGTTGGAGAAGGACATAGAGAATGTCAGGGCCACAAACTCAGGCCAAGGGACGTCCTGAGGAGGTCTAGAGGTGTGTAACAGACCCAGGAAAGTGACTTTGGACATGAATGGGGGATTCTGAAAGTAAAGGAGTAGCAGACGGCAGGAGCTGAGTATGAAGTGAAAGAATTACAGGTCAGAAAAGTAGCATTAGAGGCACTGTTCCGGGCACTCAGAAGAGCCCATGCCAGACACATAGAGGACTATGAACATCACTTTCCTTCCTGCATGCTGCACCACCCTGATTACCTTAGAGCGCCCCCTAATGGCCGAGAGTTAGCCCTGAAGAAAACTCAACAGGTCTTCCTATGGCATCCATCTTCCTCTTACCCACTTAGCAAACCTCACACTCATAACGTAGGCTGGCCCTAAGTCACAGTGTCCCTTCGTCTTTCTTTCAGGCACACAGTTCAGCTTTGCAAGCTGGAGAGAAACCTACTCAGGTTACAGAGGGCAGGGCCAACTTACAGAGGTCAAGAACCAACTTTCGCTAGATCATGCTTTAAAAAATAACCATTGGAGCTGAGGGTGTAATGTGATGATAGAGTATATTTTCAGCATGCACAAAGGACAGGGATGAGATCCTAGCACCATAAAAACACAATAAAAACAGGTGATCAGTATTCACAATGCAGCCCACACCACTGAGGATTCAAATAATAGTAATGGTGAAGGTGCATGATGCTTTGTATTCAAAACAGTCCGATTATTCCAGAGGATAGACGGGAAAGCTGGGAGGAGAACAAAACTGCTCCCTCTCATGGTCTGGCAGGGTCTAAGTATGAGCAGGACAGCGAAGGTCCTGGAGGGTGGAGCTCTGGTTCAGGTGTGGCACAGTGGCAAAGCCCCACTTTTGCTTGAGATAGGCATAGAGCTCTGTGTGTAATGAGCACCGGGCACTGCCAATGGAGGAGAGCTGCAGACAGGAGGAGCCCTCTTGAGGATGCCCCGGGACCCATTTCCTCACTCTGCCTCTGCCTTGTCCGCCGGTGGCAGGCCAAGGGCTGCCCTGGTGTGGGGAGAGGAGGGACCTCCAGAGGCAGCTGCTGCTCTTCTAGATCACTCCATAGAATCTTTCCTGGTGGTTGATGAGCCTGAAGCCACTAGGTGGCGGTGGCGGGGCACTTGTGGGAGGTTCTCAGGCTTCTCTGGACACTTTTGTACTATAGGATTGGCAAAGCTTTGATACCGTTTCTCCACCCTCAGGCTCCAGTACATCTGGTATTTAAAATCTGGGGCACAGCTTAGATAGGGGACATATAGTGATGGGGAAGTCTTGGAGAGCGAGACTTTTCTACCTTTGTGACTTTCCACCCACATGGCTTTCTGTCCCTGTGACAGCCTCCTGGGGACAGGTGGTGTTGCTGAGCTGACTGCTCTTCGGTTCTCTCAGAGGGATATTCCTGCTGGTAGGAATCAGGAAGTGTTCAGGATCTGGCCACAATCGGGAACAAGGTCGCAGAGGAAAGGCTTTAGGAGTAAGCAGAGCTTCTGGATCTGGCTGTAACAGCAGGCACCTGCAGGGCCAGGCAAAGCAATCATCCAGAATGGATCCCAGGTCTACAGCTCCTGCCTCAGGCCCCAGGCTTGGTGGGGAGTATTGATATGCGATTTGAGATCTCAGACTTCTCTCTTGGCTGCATGGCGGGGACATATCCTTGACACCTGGCAGAGTCTGGTGCATGGCCAGTGGGCAGGGCCTGGTATGGTCCCAGATCTGCAGTGCCTTATGGTCAGAAGCATCGCAGACGTGGTTCTGGGTTTGGAGCAGGCAGCTTAGGTACCAGTCTTGCTCTAGGATGGTCTGCAGCTGGACAGGAGAGTTCCTTCTGCCTCTAACCCAACTTCAGCTTTCTAGTTTTGGAATGAGATAATCAAGGCTCTGGAAAGCCTTGCTCTTCTGATTGGCTTAGATGTGGGCCTGTTGACTTGGGGGTTCCTGGAAAGAGAGAAGGACAAAAGGCAAGAGAGGTCATGGAGGAGGGAGACAGACTGGATTCCTCTGGCTGAGTCAGCTGTGGGCTACAGAGGCTGACTGCGGTGAGCAGCAAGCACAGAAGAGCTGCAGAGGCCTGCACACCAGGTCACCTGCACACCCCTGTCTAGGTTAATCCTGGCCTCTTTCCTTTAGTTACTCTGCTCGTCTTCAGTAAGGAGCTCACGTCAGGGACTGTCCGAAGACTTTCAGGCCAAGTCATAACCAAGACAGAGGTCCCCAAATTCAGCAAGATGGCGTTGGGCGTCACATAATACACCAGGAAATGCAAGACGGAAGCCATGGGTTGTAAGCCCAGCATGGGGAGCCAGAGGGGACCGAAAACAGGGCTGTGTCCTAAGAGCTCACTGCAGGCAGGCAGCCATTCAAAGAGGTTATTTGTTTCTTCTTCCTCCAACGTGAGAAAGAAAACCATAAAAGAAGGCTTTGCCCATGGTATGTATTTAGTTCCGAGGAGGCACGTGTCTTTATCATCTTGTCTACATGATGGATGAGGAAAGAGAGGTGTAGAGAGATTAAAGAACGTACCCAAAGCCCCGAGGGAAGCGAGTAGTAGGCAGAGGGCTAAGCCAGTCAGCTTTCACAGAATTGCGTCCATCAGTACCTTTTCCCAAGCGGAATTTAGTGTGAAGGTCCAGTGCTTGGGCAGAGCTGGGCAAGCTCTGATGGCAGAGTCTTTACACACCACTCCTTGCACATTGCATTGTGAACCATGCATTTCTGCCACCCAGTTCTCTAGGTTTGGAAATACCAGTGCTTGATACTCTGATTGGAGAGGGTCAGGCAGGCACTCTGTTCCTGCTTCTGGAACTGCCTTGGAGGAGAATAGACCAGGGATTGAGGGGGATGTGTAGCTGGGCCAGGTAATACTGCAGTGGCAGTAATGGGAGGGAGGGGAGCAGCAGGGAGGGACAGCCTGGCCAAGGTCTTCTGCCTGAAAGTGATGTCTGTTCCCACACACACCCAGTTCTGGCTTTCCTCGTCTCGGAATATTCTGGTACATTCACATCCACAAAATAAGTCTTTCCATTTTATCAAATCAGTAACAGTGAATGTAAAGGGAAGGTGAAATGTGTATGTGTGTGTGTGTGTGTGTGTGTGTGTGAGAGAGAGAGAGAGAGAGAGAGAGAGAGAGAGAGAGAGAGAGAGAGAACACAAAACAAGAATGAGTTAGACCCCAAACAAGGTGCTTTGGCAAGCCTTCTGCTAAACTAAAACTCTCCCAAGGCTGGAGAAAAGGCACAGATTACCAGGGCTAGAATGAAAAAGGAAGGGTGTCATCTCAAGACTTGCAGACACCAAAAAGAAAATAAAAAGTGTGCACCAATAAATTTAATTTAGAAGAAATGGATGAGTTTGTTTTTTAAAAATATAACCAGATTGCAAAAAGAAATAAAAACAATGTAGCTACTAAACAAATGGAAGCAATAATTGAAAATCTTCCCACAACACATCCCTGGGGCTCGGAGGGCTTTAGCAGATAATTCCCTCCAGCCTTGAGGGAACAGACCATCCCAGCTTGCGCAAGCTCTTCCAGAGAATCTGTTTGTGCTCCTCAACTGAAACTTACAAACTTTGATAGAAAAAAAAAAACCTGCTGAGAGCATGTGAGAAAAGGAAACCACAAGCTTGTTCCTCAGACACACGTGAGGACCCTGTCAAGGACAGAGCTGGCCACGGGCTTCAAGCTGGGTGGAGACTCTGGAGAGACTCTTGGGGCTTTGACAGAAGAAGAGCTGCTGCAGGGCTCCTCCTCTTCTGGCTTCATTTGTGCCTCAGCCAATGGTTTCCTCATCTTTCTTGTTGGCTTGCTGGCCGGAGGGGTGAAGGTCACTCGGGCTGTAACTACATTATTGCTGCAGACTACCCAAGTGCCTTGTGTGCTCTCTGTACTCACCCACATCGTAAAGTCTTTATGCTTCCCAAGTGCTTCCAATTTAAATGCCATCTCTTTCTCCCGGGGCGCTGAAAGACTAGGAATTGGTATCCTGGAAATGGTCCCGAGCGATTTACTTCTCTAATAGGATTGGGTTACTCACATGTTTGAGTGCACAGCAGATATGGTCACAGCTGTGGAATCTGCCAGCCTTATGATGGTCTGAATAAGCTCCAGGAGGATCACAAAGTGCTGTGTTTCAACCAGCCCTCCACAGGGTGCTGATGGACCCTGACGACAGCATCTTCTTCCTCCCTAACTCTTTCCCCCACAGAGCACCGAAAGAGGCTCCCCTCATTTCACAACCTCATCGAAGTCTCATGACCTCACTAGAGTATATTCAAATGTGGGGACAGAAGCCTATGAAGTTCCGGGGTAGAGTGAGAATTACTGTCTGTAGGCTTGTCTACTTAAACACTTGGTCCCCACTGGATGGCACTGTTTGGAGATGTTAGGAAAGTGTTAAGAGGTGGAGCCTTGCTGGAGGATGCA